GTAGAATATCATCAATTGGCCAATAAGGTGGCCAAGTTATACATATGTGTATTAAACTCATGGCTATAAATAGCCATTGTACATATAGATACGTATATACATATTTGAAATATATTACTTCCTCAATTTTCTTTCTTTTAGTATATTAATCTTAGTAAGTTCTTTTATAACACGTACAAGCTTGCTAATAACCACTTCCAATCTTTCTGTAAGCACCTTTGAAATCATTTTCTCCTGCTGGCTTATAGGCCTGGAATCTTTTATTTCCACTGCTCCTTTCTTCTTGGGATTGGGAGTAATAAATGTAGCATTTGAACTTCTCTTCATTCTGCCTTCTTGATGAAACTGTTCCTAGGTTTTAAAGATGCATCCCTTAGGATATGCCAACATCTTTGGAAAAAGGCCATCTGATATCCACGAGATATCTTTTGGAGAAGGCCATATGAAACCAATCCTCAAATAGCAGCTAGCTCCTTATTGGTGACAATGAGCATGATTTTAACAGCGGAAAACCCAAGGAAGCAGAGAACCCATGTCAATTGGTGCTTTATGTGCAGGAGTGAGGGTGAGCATGTAGATCATCTGCTATTGCATTGTAAAGTGGCTAATAGATTATGGAGGGTGGCCCTTTAATTTGTTTGGGATGCAGTGGGTGATGCCGACCTCTGTGAAGGAGGCCTTGCAAGGTTGGACTCTTATGAGAGAGAAGAAAGACCATGTGCATGGAGAGTGCCCCCCTTAGCAATCATGTGGGTCATTTGGAAAGAGAGAAATAAAAGGGCTTTTGAAGGAGTGGAGCAAGTTTTTTTCAATTTGCAAAGTAGTTTTTTGCCTTAGTTTTCTTTTGGTGTACTTTTGAGGTCCCTCTATTTGTAGAGGATTGGACCTCTTTTGTTGAGAACCATATTATGGTGTAGGTCCTCTTTTTTGGTACATGGATTGTATGCAAGGTTCCCACAATATAAAATTATTTACCTTCTCAAAAAAATTAGCCAGCTCTTTTCAAAGAGTTTTCCTTGCTTTCCTTTACATGGCGCATAGACTCAAGTAAAGGTCATTCCAGCTACACACTTTTATCGTCTTTTTTAAAATCTAGAATTCTTCCTTCCTCGGCTACCACTTTTGAGCCATTAGCATAGTTGGTGTCCAATGGAAATACGATTATTGACAATTTGCAGAATTTCAAGATGAGTTGTATAGCTCTTTATTATTTTTGGTGTAAACAGAAAGTTTTAGTACAGGCAGAAGAACTTTTTGATGTTATAGACTATTTGTGACAAAAAGCACAGATGGAGTCAGTCTAGTTTGTAATACTTTTGGAAGGGGGGCTACTTTGATGTAGTATACCCTGTGGATAAATAGGGAAAAAAAGTTATCATTCTCAAAAAAATGGTTATACGATAGGGTTCTCTTTCATTATGCTTTGGGTAATATTAATTTGCTTATGTGATGACTGGTTGTAGATTAGTAAATATCATAAGTGGATGGCTTATTGGGGTATGCACCTTCTTTGAGTTCTGTCATCCACCATATATTTCCTTTTCTAACACTTGAACTTGAAGACCGTCGATGACTAACGAGCTAGTTGTTAGTGTTAGTTTACTATCCTCTTAGGGGTCGTTTGGTTGAGAACTAGTTATCCCCAAATTAACTATCCTAGAGTTAGTTATCCTGAGATAACTTATCCCACCATGTATATGGGATAACTTATCCCATCATTATGCTATAAATGGTGGGATAAATTAACCCAAACACGTCAACCAAACAAGACATCTCAATTTTATCCCAGGACTATTTATGCTTATCCCTCACACCAAACGAGCCCTTAGTGTTGGTGTGTTTCTGTCATAGCTGGTATACTTGAAGTTTCTATCTAATGCATAATTATATGCACTCTCACACATATTTCTTTTACTTTCTATATAAAAGGTATGCAGCAGTTTTTGCTGCTTTTGTTGCTGGCATGGCATGTTTGGTTGGGATGGACTTTGGCGCCAAACTTCTGGCATCTATGGCTAAATGTTTTGAGGTATTGACACATAAAAAAGTGGTAATTTTATGGATTGAACACTTACATTTGAATAAAAGGAGAAGTAATTTTTATCTAAGGAGCAGTTAATCTTCTTTTTGTCGGTGTAGTATGTTCTGATATTTTCTCAAAAAAAAATTGTTCTGTTATATGCAGTAGTATTTAAAAGCATTGATTACTTGCCCCGTCTCATATAACATCGACAGCAATTTTTAGTAACTTTTATGTTTTATTTAGGATGAGTATCAGAATGAAGATAACCTCTCTGTTAGGAACCTGACACTTCTGCTCTCATACTTGTACACTTTTGGTGTTTGCTCAAGGTAAGCCCTATATTTGAATTGACTACTCTCTGACTTGGGTTGTTTGGTGGACAACCTTGGCATAGTACATATGCCTACATATCTCCTTTGTCTTCTATGGTGCTTTCCTTGTATATGATTTCTGGTCTAAATTCTAATATCAGAATTACTTGATGCATATAATCACTAATTCAGACAAGTCCTCCATAATTGCTTCCTGAAAAGAGCAATGTGGAGAAACATGGCTGTTATACTTACAACGTTATACACGTAAAGCAAGTGTCTTACTCTTTCTCTCCCTCTAACCCCTCCTCACAAAAAAAGAACAAATGGTAGCGAAAAAGAGGCAACATCGACAGACTTATCTCCTCCCCACCTCTTACCCTTCCTTGCATGCCTTGTATGTTCTACCTTAATAATTTATGAGAGTAACAAAAAGGAGCACCATCTTACTTGGCTCTCAAAACAGTAACCACAACTGCAGTGAATTTGGTAACTTCTGTCCTCTTTTGTTTTTTCTAAAATTATTATTTTATATTTTAATCATGATATGAATCCCTGTAGAAGCAAGAACGCTTAATCTATTGCTAATTTCATATATTTGAACCCTCATTAATTTAATTATATTTCTTATTCTTCTTAGTGACTTGATATATGATTTCTTGGTGACATTGAGCAAGAGACTGACAGAAGTGGATGTTTCTACCATATTGACAGTGCTTCAAGGTAATAAATTTACCTTAAAGACTTGTCTTTCTTTGTTGGAATGATCAGTCATCCAAGTATTTCTCCTTCTTTACTCTTGCCCCATGTCTGTTCCCTATTCCAGAGAAATTTCAACAAATTATTCATGAGTTGCTAGGTGCTGTTAATTCAAGGCCTTAACTATTCCCCTTTTTCCCTTGTAGCATATGGTTTTTCTTTTCAACACACAAATAAGTTGTTTTTCTAAATCAGGCAATTAATTTCTAACTTAAAGAAGGAACTTGTGTTTTGCTAACTTTTGTATGCTTCATATGTGACACTAAGCCAGTGCAATAGGCATAATTACAGGTTATGCAACCCCTCTATTGTGTCTGACATTCCATCGACATCATTTACTATAACCAGATTGCACCAAGATTCTTTTCCAATTCTGACTAGTCTGAATATTAAATGATTATGCGTATGTGCTTTTACTGAACAGCTTGTGGGATGAAATTGAGAGGTGATGATCCTGTTGGCATGAAGAATTTTATAGTTAGCGTTCAGAATAGGGTGAATGAATTGAAATCCTCATCTGGGGAAGGACAATCAAACAGTATGGGGAAAAGGGTATGTTAATGCTTTCTTATGCAGATTGCTTCTTATTCTGTCTCAGCTAACCACGTAATTTCTGGAACCACATTAATCTATATTTACACGTACTGGTTTTGTGACAGATGGAATTCATGCTTGAGATGATATGTGATATCAAAAACAATAAAAAAAGGACGAAGGAGGAGACCTTGCAGCTTACCCGAATAAAGAAATGGCTACAACAGGTGCTTGTTGGATTCAGCTGTTTTAGTCAAATAATTATCTATTGGCACATTTGATCTGGGGTGACCTTTGTAAGGTTGTTTTCATCTATCTTATAAAATAGACACGGTAGTCTTCCTTGGGAAATAATAAAGATAGGTTTTGACCAGTCACGCAACACTCTCCTTCAATTGCAACCGAGTTAGAATATGAAGATTAAAAAAATGGAATAACCGCAAACTATACCTTGAGATTGCTATGGAAAATCGTGTAAATTAAGCAAGCATTGAATGTTCTACTCCTCTTCTTATTGTTATGGGTGTAATTGTCTCTGATCAGTGCTTATATGAGATATTGGAGAACGGTTGGCTCCTCGGATGGGATTAGGCTTAGGAGCTTGCTAGTTTTCTCCCACAAATTCTCAACTCTCTAACTTGCTTTCATTCTCCAATTGTCAAATTATCACTTAATATGTATTGTTAACCAAATCCTTTATTGTTTCATTCGTGAAAGAAGCTGATTCCTTTGAATGATGGGTGTCTTTTATTTATTGAGAAAAAAGGTATGTTTTATCCCTTCAGTTATTAGGTACGATCACTCTTCTAAGGTATAGTAATAGAAAGCTCTTCTTTCTGAGCCAGTATCTAGATGGTTGAACTGATCGCCCTTCTCTTCCAGTGTCTTTATTTTCGGAACAACAAATTTAGTTCTTGTATGAGTACTAAAAGATCTCATGTTTTTTTTACTGTATCCGATAGGTTAATTAAATCCGTATGTGGGATTTTTGAGAAATTGTTTAAAAGCTCCTGGTTTGATGTTTTCTCTTGATTCTCAACAAGATATTCAATCGAGAAATATAATCCACATATTACGTCCAATCTTTGTTGCACTTAAATGCAAAATTTGGTACGTTGTGCTGAAGATAGCGTTTCAAATCTAGTGAATATGTGCTGGCTTTCACACTAGTGGAACTAATACATATATATTTGTTGATCAAGTAATACAATTGCAGAACACTATTTTTGCAAGATTGGGTAGTTCTGCGGTAGATAAACGTGGAGGGCCAAAGATGTTATAGTGCATAAGTTTCACTACTATGCTTTTGTTATTTCGATAGATTAAAACAATAAATGATGGTAGTTAGCTGCCAAGTTCCATGAAATTTGAAATTCCTTAGATCATCACTCTACATTGTCTCATCATTTCTATCATCCTTAGCATGCTAATCTCTTCTTGTTATCTTACTTGCAGCTCAGAGTAGTTGATATATTGATTCGAGGGTTAAAGTGGAGCAAGCTGATTGATCCTGACAAGAGAGGCCAGTGGTGGATGTCTGGAAATATTGATTCCACAACTGATGTTCAAGATGTTGCCAGCACAATTGATTTGGAGGTCACTGAGGCTCAAAAGATGCTCCAGCTTGCTGCTGCTCAGAGGATGAATACTGATGCAAGAAGGGCAATTTTCTGCGTAATAATGAGTGGGGAGGACTATATAGATGCATTTGAGAAACTTCTAAGATTAGATTTGCAAGGCAAGCAGGTTGGCAACTGTTGGTTGAATTCCCTGCTATTCATTGTTGTGCTTCCGGTGTGCAGATTCTTTAATATTTTTACATGCAGGATAGGGAAATCATAAGAGTTTTGGTGGAATGCTGTTTACAGGAGAAAGCTTTTAACAAATACTATTGTGCTCTAGCTTCCAAGTTATGCAGCCATGATAAAAACAATAAGTTCACCCTGCAGGTATGCCTTCTGCTTAAATGCATCTTGAGAAGTTATGTTACACGGTCTTCTGCACTCGGCAAAGCTGGGGACAAAAAGTTTATTTATTACATTACGTGATTTCTAGAAAGGGAAAAACTACATCTCGTGTGTATTTATTATGAGTGTAAAATATTTTTCAGTTTTCTCATGTTTGGTTGGTCAAGATATTATAGAAAACATTTTCTTTAGGAATTTAGGAAAAAGACTTCAGTTCTAGTAGTAGGGAAAACAAGTTCCATAAGTAGCATTCCACATTAATCATCTCCTCCACAGTCACGCCCCACTTCCACACCATAGTGATTGTCCCTCATACAAATACACCCCTCATCTTATCACATGTCAGGAAAAGGAGAAGAGGAAAAGACAAATGAAGTGCTTCTTACACTATATGAAGTATGAACAGTGAAATTTCTTTTGATTTTTGTTTCCTGATTGCATTTGATGCAATTAAAGTTCGAAGTCAATTTCTGACCTGTGACACAAGTTAATAGTGGGTTAAATTGAGACATTCTGGTGGTTCAAGAATTTTCTTGGCACATAAAATTATATTTTGAAATCATATGCTCATTTTGGTAATGTAGGACGGATACAATGAGACTATCTCAAGACAGTTTTTACTCCTTTTCTGTCACACACCATTGGTCCTTGTTTTCCTTTTTATCATAGTGGCCACAATTGTTATGCTCTGAGAATAATCTGTATTTGAGATCATATGCTCATTTTAGGTATGGAGGATGAATTTGAGAACTATATACAGACAGTTTTCTCTTTCTCTACACCATAGTTCTCATATCCCATTTTATTGGAGTGGTCAGAATTATCATGCTTGAGAATCATTTGAAATATGGTACTCGCATGAACTGATGTTTGCACCCAAGAATATTGTATGTGCTAACCTCCTTAAAGTAGTGCAATATTATCAAGTATGTCTAGTTCCAAAAGCACTGTATTATACTTATCTCAAAACCATAACCATGCTAATCCATTGTTACTTGCAGTACTGTCTGTGGGATCATTTCAAGGAGCTTGATCAGATGCAGCTGATCAGATCAATGCACTTATCCAAGTTTGTTGCAGAGATGGTTGCTTCTTTTAGCCTTTCACTTGCTGTACTGAAGGCTGTTGATCTCAGTGATTCTTCACAATTGACTCCAAAAAGAATCATGCACTTTCGGATGCTATTTGAGACTATCTTGGAGTTTCCTGAAAAGCTTGTCTGGAACATCTTTACTCGAATTGCTCTTTTGCCAGAGTATGAATCACTTCGTGATGGGATTGTCTTCTTTATCCGCAAGTATGTCATTGATAGCCAAAAGTCTCTGGCAGATAAATTCAAGATTGCAAAGAAGGCTCTTAACAATGTTGAAGGAGTCATCATGTGAGTGTTTGCATGATATATTCTAGATTCAGGATTTTGCAGGAATGGTTATTGTTGTTGGAGCAACAGTAACCCAGTTTTGGTAGATGTTTTCTTGATTCTATGATCGTAGGATAGGTATGACGAGAAATTCAGTATAGACGGATCCTAGTTATGTGACTTCAAACCTTGGAATTGCATACTGTTTCATTATTAACTTTTTGAGGTAGAGAAATGTGCAACTCTTGCCACAGTGTCTATGTAACTTATTACATGCATTGTAAGTGAACATTATTTAGGGCCAGGTTGCAATTGCAACTATACTGTAATTTCATTTGTTAAATTTGGCATCTTCTCTTCAATTAATATTTTGGGAATTAGTTGGTGTATGTCATAAAAGATATTGTGAATTTTCTTGTTTCATGGCAAAAAATGGTTGTCTCTTAGCTTCTTCCTTTTGTATGATGGATTATTTGGAGGTAAAGAAATGCAAGTGTTTTTATTTTGGCTTTACAACAAATGAAATATCATTATTGATCTTAAACTTAAGGGGTCATTTGGTTGTGCCATGGGATAGGTTGGGATATTTTATGGTTCATAGAATTATTTTATCTCGCCTTTTATACGAAATAACTTATTGTAGAATAAAAGAAATAACTTATTATAGAATAAAGTAAATTAAGAACAAATAAACACAAAATAAAATAATCTCTTGATATATTGGAAGATTTATTATCTTAGGTGTAACAAGGATAAGGCAAATTTGTTAGAATCGGGTGCTTCTTTTCTTAAAAGAATATCACAAAATCTTATTATAAAATCCGTTGGAATACATTTAACTAAATCAGCAATTAGGTCACGACTAATGGGCTACCACTCAAAGCATTTCTATTAGTCAAGTAGACCTAAATTAATACTGCTTTAAATTAAAAAACATTCTTAAATATTTAAGATATAAAATAGTAAGACGAGAGAATGATACTTAAAAGTCTAAAATCATTGTAATCCAAAGAGAATGATTTCAATAGAGAATAGGATAAACTTCGATGAATAAATTTTTTTTTACTATGAATTCTAATTCATAAGTGAAATAAATCAAATCCATTTTCGAACTAAAAAGAAAAACCAATAGAGAGATTAATAAAGCCTTCCATTTATAAATAAAAGATTATATCCAATCACATAATAAAATTTTTAACTAGAAAAAGTTATCAATAATGTTTTTTTTTGAAAATAAATGTTGGAATTAATTGGCCAAAAATGGAAACATTAATGTTTGTTAATTTGTAACATTCATTTTTTATTTTTTTTATATTATAATTACATCTGTGTCAACACCACGTCTGAATATAAGCATTTTATCATTTTATATTTGAAGGAATGGATGAGGGTTTCAATTGACGGCTCGACTTGGCGTTGTATTGCCTTAGCTTTACCCTACTACTACAGAGCTGCCACACTTCCTTCTTCCGCCGCCTTGCTGCTTCCTCCGTCGCCGGCGGTGAGTGGACGGCTGTTTAATTTCACACGTACCTTTTCTGTTTCAAAGCCGATGGGTTCTCAGCCGGAAGTATTGGATTGGCCGGCCAATAAGGTCCGGCAGACTTTTATCAGCTTCTTCCAAGGGAAAGATCATAAAGAGGTTCAATCCAGTCCTGTAGTTCCTCATAATGACCCTACTCTTCTATTCGCTAATGCTGGTTCGTTTTTCCTTCACTATTGTACAGTACTTGGAATGTTGTTTTTGTTGTTTTTTTTGGGGTTGAATAGATAAAGTTTGTTTTTTCGTGCAGGGATGAATCAGTTTAAGCCTATTTTCTTGGGTATTGTTGACCCTAATAGTCCGTTGAGTAAACTTAAGCGTGCCTGCGATACACAGAAGTGTATTCGTGCTGGTGGCAAGCATAATGATCTTGATGATGTTGGTAAGGATACTTACCATCACACATTCTTTGAGATGCTTGGTAATTGGTCATTTGGGGATTATTTCAAGAAGGAGGCAATTGGATGGGCCTGGGAACTACTTACCCAGGCAAGTTTTAACCTCATTAATAGTTAGTAATGTTCTTGTTCAGAGTCAGTTGGGATCCTTGCATATATGCTGTTTGATCAAGAAATGGTAGGATGCTGACTTGTTCAAGTGTTTCCCCTTGTTTGATGGTTTTTGTCCAGGTATATAAACTGCCAAGTGAACGGATTTATGCCACTTATTTTGGAGGTGATGAAAAATCTGGCCTTCCAGCGGATAATGAAGCTAGAGACCTATGGCTTAAGTTCCTTCCTCCTAGCAGGGTGTTGCCTTTCGACTGCAAAGTATGTTATCGCACTGTATCTCCAATTTGTCATCTTGCTCAAATTCATCATTTTCTGTTTGGTGCTATGTTAATTCAAAACTGAATCTTCAATGAGGTAATTTTCTTAGTATACTTGATATTTTTGAAACCAGTGAATCTTATTAAATCTTTAGAAGCATGTGCAACTTTTAAGACCTCTCAATTTGGACAAATTTTTTGATGATGTAAGGTAAGGGCAGTGGTAAGTGTCATTTTCGCCTTATAAGAATGCAAGTGTCCTTTATGCTGATAAAAGAAGCAAAATTGTGGTACTTATCATTCACAAGTGGAGAAGAGCATCATATTCATCGAAGCATATGAACTTTTGAGGGCGATGATAAGTAACATTTTCCCTTGTAAACATTAAGTATCCTTTTTTCTGATAAGAAAATTAAGAAGTTGTGTTCATCATTTAGGTGGAGTAGGGCAAAGAAGGTGGGGAGGGGGGGCGTTACTCGTTGAGTTATGGAATTTGAAATAACAAATTGCCTCGTTAAAGAAAAGTAAAAAACAAAACAAAAAAAAAAGAAGCAACTCAAATTTATGAATTAGATGTTTTTAGAGGTTTTGAGTAATTGATGTACAATAACCATTGAGCTTTGGAATTTGAAAGAAAAAATTCCATCGTTAAAGAAAAGAAAAAAAAGAAGCAACTCAAATTTCTATAAGCTGTTTTTGTCATATGAATTAGATGTTTTTAAAGGTTTTGAGTAATTGATCTACAATAACCATTGTTCTTAAGGAACACTTCCAATCAATGAGAATTGTCTTCCAGTATGTTGACACGAGAACTTCCTTTCTTGTACAAATGATTTAATTTCTTTGAGCTAAGTTCAGATTTTTTCATTACACTTTGTGCTTTGAGTAGGACAACTTTTGGGAGATGGGTGATACTGGACCTTGCGGACCCTGCACCGAAATACACTTCGATAGAATTGGGAATCGTGATGCTGCATCATTTGTTAATAATGATGATCCCACTGTGATTGAGATATGGAACCTTGTCTTTATTCAGGTACTATTATCTCCCAAGTTTTTGTTTCTCATTGGGAAGCTTTGTTTTAACTCTTGTCTGTCTTTTGCAGTTTAATAGGGAAGCTGATGGTTCTTTGAAACCTCTTCCAGCTAAGCATGTTGATACTGGAATGGGTTTTGAAAGACTAACCTCTATCCTCCAGAACAAGATGAGCAATTATGATACTGATGTGTTCTTACCCATATTTGATGCTATACAAAAGGTAATATGAACATGTTATCTTTTTGAAATTCGATTTTATTGATTTGCAGTTCTCTTGAGCCACCTAGCATATACATTTCCTCATTGCTTTGGGTAAACTGTAAACGGACTATTTCTATGATGGCCTTTCATGAATTCACCCATTTATGTCATGACTGACGTTATTCTAATTCCTCTTTATTGAGTTTTATTTTCCATATTATTTCTCGCGCAAATAGGATTTTTAGTGATTCAGTGGCCCTGATGTAAATACTTATTCAAGTAATGCTTTAAAGAAAATTCTAAAGATTGTAAAATCTCTACATTTATTTTGAAAAATGTTGTGTAACCACTTTAACGTGGTTGATACATTATTTTCCATAGTATTTTACTTTTTATTTACAAAATTAGCTTAAACAGAAATTTTAGGATTATCGAGGCGAATTTTCTGTAAAATAATGGCTACTGGCAAGAGCACTCAACTTCTAGTTAAGAGGTTGGGATTCGATTCATGTAGGAAGCAAAGTGGGGAAGAGCCTCCGTTGACTTCTTGACTGGTGGTTTTGAAGTCCTGCGTTATACCAGATGAGAAAAAAAAACTCGTCCTGAACTGACTGGTCCTGAGCCTGAATTGTGTTACTGAAATTTTCGTTTTGCTATACTTATCTAACCTATTCTCCTAAATTGATATTTCAATCTTTTAATAGGCAACTGGAGCTCGTCCGTACTCTGGCAAAGTTGGAGCTGATGATGTGGACAATGTTGATATGGCCTATAGAGTTGTTGCTGACCACATTCGAACTCTCTCTTTTGCCATTGCTGATGGTTCTTGCCCAGGTAGATTCTTGTTAGTCTGGTCCATCAGCTAGTGCTTAGGGTTGTTCAAAATCGTTTCTCTCCTGTTTTGGTTGACTCCCTACATTAGTACTATGTTATGGTGTCAAAAGTTTTGATTACTTGTAAAAGTTTTTAGGTGTGATAACATTCATTATATGTATAATCTTATTGGTGTTTGTTTTGTTGTGGAGATTCAAATCTTGTATAATGAATGAGTTTGCAGTCACTTTTTGTTTCAAGATGGTTTGTATTTTACAGTTTGTGTCTGGTGAATTTGTTGTCTAATACTTTCTCCTATTTCCTTCACCTGCTGTTACTTGAAACCTACACGTTCTGTTATAATGATGTGCATCCATTTTAATTTGAAATTTGGGTTCTATGACTTTCCATGCTTGGTAGAGAAGTATGGATTCTAGTATTTTCAAGGAGCTTCTGACAGTTTACAACGTTTTAGGCCAAATAGCAGTGTCTGGTTTTGTTCTTTGGTAAGTCTAATGTTCACATTTTCTTGTTTTGCAGGGAATGAAGGCCGTGAATATGTCCTCAGACGCATTCTACGTCGAGCAGTGCGCTATGGTACAGAGGTTTTGAAAGCGCAACAAGGATTTTTCAGCAGGTATGCGGAAGTACTTCGAAATTTGCCAGTCTCATTATCTTTTGGGCCTACAAAAAAGGGTTTATTTGATATTTAGCAGTTCTGTGCTATATCCTCTCTAGAGATCAATGTATTATTTACACTCTGCTTTATGTTGAGAGTAGCCTTGTGAAGGTGGTGGTAGAAGTTATGGGTGATGTCTTCCCAGAGCTGAAGTTGCGTGAGACACATATAAGGGATATCATTGCTGATGAAGAAACTTGCTTTGGAAGGACATTGCTTCATGTAAGCTTCTTTGTAATATAAGAAAGGAATCAAGTCTAGAAACTCCAGATGTTTTGATAGTATAGAAAATAGCTTGCAAAAAGTCAAGTTCAATTGTTTGTTGCTTCTGTGTTTTTGGTGTACTCAATTATACTCCAATGACACTATCCCCCTCATTGATGTACTAGACTCAATTTAGGT